TAGAGCATACACGCCAGTAGGTCAGGCCGGTGCTGCACTGCACACTATGGCGGTGTTGCAGGCATACCAGGCCGACCTGATGGGGGATCTCGACCAGGGGGCAGGGATGTCCCGGTCGATTCGCCGGTTTCGCCTTCCGAACTCTTTGGCACCTCCGTAGAGGCGGTGGTGGAGAAGTTCAGGGAGGCAAAGGCGCGCTCAGCAGCATTTAAGACCTGTATACCGCTGAGATCCAAGTCCGGACCCGGGCAGGCGGGAGAGCCTGGCCCTTCACGGTCTGAGGACCGTAGGCAGGGCCAGCGAGCCAGTGTCGCCTCTCGTGCGCCCCCAGGTCGCAGAGGAGGCGTGACTGCCGCAACAGAGGAGATTTGAGGGAGGTTATCCAGCACAAACGCACACTGCGTTGGTAATGGATAACCTCCTCGGAGGGTCTCGAAATCTGCCCTCTCTCCTCTGACCCCCAGGCGTTCATTACATCAGGCCTGGGGATGGGCCTATGATGAGAACTATGTTCTGATGGCCCACCTAGGCTTGGTTAGTGGAAACGCCCCTTTCAGGCATGTAAAGTGGCGGATCCCAGGTTCGTAAGAACTATCTGGCGAGTCTTAGGAACTACATCCTGGACCGAGACATGGAGCGGTCGGCAGAGGCGACAGCTGCCCCCCCCACCTCCCACTAGCAGCAGCACCAGCACCAGCAGCAGCAGCAGCACCTCCACCACCACCAGCAGTGGCCCCAGCAAGGCCGCTGCCTCCACCACGCTGACACCACGCTGCCGCCACGCAAGCCGATCGCTCCCATGTTCTCGGCCCTACTGGGAAGGCGTCCAATGGCCCCAGGTGAGCTGCAGGCCAAGGTCAGGAAGCTGATGACTACACCAGCACGGCCTGCAGTTCCAGGTAGATCTCTTTCTTTCTCTTTAACACAACAGAGGTTCAGTGTACAGGATTAACTAACCATTGCCCCCCCCCCCCCACAGAGGTGACGGACGAGGAACTGGTCTAGATGGCCACTGACTTAGAAACGGGTAACTGGAACCACACTGGACGTGTCACACTGGAACATTTGCCCTCAATATATATATTCTTCTGGCGGTAATTTTGTATTAACTGTAATAGTTTCATTTACTGGTCTCTACAGCTGATGCTTGAAGACCAAAGGTAGGTTTGGCATGTAATGTAGCCGTCTTTGTCGGTGGTAGATGTGTAGAACGTAGTGGCAATGTAGATTTGCTTAACCACCTTCACATGTCTACTTCCCTTGGCCCTGCTGCATCTCTTAACATTCACCTTGTAGCACTAAACCATCTGCCCTATCACTGGCATGCTGTACGTCATCTATTCACTTGCATGTTGCACGCCATCTAATCACTGGTATGCTGCACATCATCTAATCACTGGGACGCTGCACGTCTCACTTAGTCTTGCCTGCCTGTGTGTTGCCCCATGACTATCATTGGGCTGACGCAATTTTGTTGTGTGTGTGAATGTGTCTGAAGCTCACGTACAGGTCCTTCAGACGCTCCCGCTGGTGGTGAGGCCTCCATCTCCACCTCCTCCGGCATTATCCTCCATCCCTCCCCCACCACCACCACTACCTCAAGTTGCGGCTGCTCCACCTCGGCTCGCGTTTCCTGCTCCAGCGTTGACCAGGGAGGAGACGCCATCTGGGGAGGCCACCCTGGCACCAGCGCCGGCGAAGAGGAAGAGGAAGGAGAGGAAAGTGGAGCAGCCCGCAACACCCACTCCTGCTTCGGCTGAGGTACAAACACACACACACGCACACACACACACACCGTGCCCGTACTCATGGACGGCACAACTCAGTGAAGTTGACTGTCAAACTGCATGTTGCACCTCCTCTCAGCCTCCTGACAGTTTGTTTGTTTGTTTGTGTGTTTTTTTTCCCCTCACAGTCCCGGTTGCCTAGAGCTGGCGGACAGCTCTCACCGTGGAAGAGCAGGAGTGGATCGGCCGGTAGCTGTTTAGGACAGACAGCGAGGGGAGGAGCAAACTCACCACAGACCTCAAGCTGTGGTGGGACCCCCCTCAGCCCCAGCCGAGTTAGACTCAGCCACCCGCCTCACCAGCTGCCTTCTTCGCGTGTCGGCTGTTCCTCTGGACGCCCCTGCGTCTGTGGGGCGTCCGGCCGACATGCTGTGATAGGGCCCTCACCAAGTGTGGGCTCTACAGCAGTGTTCCTCAACCAGTGGGTCGCGACCCACTAGTGGGTCGTTGTTTGTTCTATAGGGGGTCGCGAGACTTTCTCTGTGTTAACCGGCACAGCCAATAAGTGGGCTTCACAAAAGGCTCATTGCAACAGGCTACGTTTACATGCAACCAAATCCAAATAATCCATTAGTAAACGCATTGACGGTTCAATCGGACTAAAAAGCCTTCATGTAAACACCTTAATCGATCCGATTGAGCTCGATCCGAATAAAATTTCAATTCGATTGAAAGGGGTGGTTTATTCATTTTCTAATCCAACTGGGAGGACATAAACACTTGATCGGATTGAAAACCGAAACAAAAGGACTGCGCATAGCATAATGATGTATGACGCGCTGAACGAGCTGTTCTTCCTTTTGAGTAAAGTGTCGTAGCTATAAATGAGCGTACCATCATGCTAAAATTCTCCTTTCACTCAGCGTCTGTGAAGTGGAGCAGGACAACGTCCCAACAGTCCTTGTTTCAGACTCTCATTCACAGACGACTGGTTTTGGGTGCTGGGCATTTTTACTGCGTGATAAATAAGCAGCACGGCACAACGGTTCATATGCTTATTGTCTCCAAATTATGACCAGCAATGGATAAATATTAAGTCTGCTGTTTAAAACAAATAAAGAACCAATGTAAGAGAATAGTTAGTAGGCTATGCGCAAACAGCGGGAAACTGTATATTCGTGCAGTGTGCGCATGTCAAAAAAATATAATTCGATTTGAATCTTGTGACATATAAACGCGCATATTAACCCGAGCACGTTTAGCGTTCATGTAAACACTACATTCAGATTCATCAATCGGAATGAATTCAGTCCGATTGAAACAAAAGTTGTGCATGTAAACGTAGCCAATCCTCCGACGAATCGTAGGCTATTTTCATTCCTTGGATTCAAACCAGAAATGAATATCCACAACTCGCAGATTGTGCAACGAAGTTTCTCTTCCCATTTAGCACTACTATCTTTGTGAGTCGGGATTTTCAACAGTGACTGCAACGAAAACAAAAAGCAGGAATAGGCTGACAACAGTTATTTGTGTGCGACACTACGAGTCACACTTTTCCAAATTCCACCGCGTCTATGATCATTTCAGAGCGGCAGTCTCAAGGCTATCACATTAACGTGAGTAAAAAAATCAGTTTGCCTCATAGTCTGCCTAATTATTGAAAATGTTTGTGTGTTTTCATGATTATCATTAATTATAATAAGCATATAGGCCTACGGTGTAGCCTATAGATCTAAAGAGGCATTTCAGTTATTGATTTATTTAGTGGGTCATATGACTGGCATACAAAAGAAAAGTGGGTCGCAGTAGGCAAAAGGTTGAGAAACCCTGCTCTACAGGACCATCCGGAGGGTCCTGGACATCGACGGCTGGTACTTGATGGCCACCGAGTACCTGGAGTGCCGTCGGTGTAAGAGGAAGGTAGCTGCCTGGTCGCAGGAGGTCGTGAGTCAGCTGGGAGAGGGGCATCGCGCCCTCTTCCCTGCAATCCTCACCTACAAGTAAGTAGCTGTCTGAAAACTGTCACGCAGCCCCTCGGTCTGTCTGTGTGTGGCTTTTCTTTAACACATTATGTCCTCCTCTCTGTAGGCTTGCCTGCGACCGGCGGGTTATCATCCAGCTGCGTGAGCGTACTCGGGAGAACAGCGCCACGCAGTTGTACAAAAAACTCTGTGAGGCACACACAGAGGCCTGGATGCGGCGGTCCATACACTACCTCAGCGTCATGGAGCCCTTCACGTCGCGGGGTGTCGTGCGCATGTGCACCCCATCACCAAAACGGCCACCCATGCCCCAGTACGCGTGGCTGTTAATGATGTACTGCCACGACATCCTCTCCCGCCTGGAGGACGTGAAGGCCCGGGTCACCTCCGTCTTCGGAACGGTCCTGAAGATGGATTCGACCAAGAAGGTAAATGTGGTGCTATGTATGTATAAATATATATGTATATAAATGTGGTGCGGAGTCTCATACTCTGGCTATGTGCGTGCAGCCTTACTCAGATGCTTTATTCTTTCAAACAGGTGACCCGGAAGTTCGCCGGTGCTGCCGCCCAGACCGCAGCGTGGGCAACGAACGTCGGCAACGAGCACGGACAGGTGCTCATGTCCGTGCTCACGGACGCCGAGGGTGCCGGCCTGTTGTCCATGGCTGCGGGGTTAATGCGGCGGTATCGGGGCGCTGGGGTGGAGCCGCCTCAGCTCCTCTACGTCGACCGGGACTGTTGTTCGTCCCACGGGGGATCCAAGACAGCTGACATGTTCGGGAAGTGGGACAAGCTGGTGGTCCGGCTGGACATCTGGCACCTGATGCGGCGGTTCGCGTCAGGTGCGTCGTGGCAAAAACAATAATAAACAAACAGCATCACAGTAAGAGACATCATGGTTCCATAACTTGATATAACATGCATTTTTCCATAACAGGTGTCACCACCGAGAGCCACCAGCTGTATAAACCCTTCCTGCAGCAGCTGTCTTCGTGCATATTCCTGTGGGACCCAGAGGACGCAGCCCGGTTGCTCAAGGCGAAGAAGAGGATGCTTGAGGCACAGGGGATGACCTTCTCGTCCGACGCCGGAGTGTGGAAGCACGTCAGCTGCAAGAATATGGCTCTCCATTGCCGTCGCCACACGCGTGGAGCGTGTTGTTGTACTTCAGGGGAACTCATCGGCATCTAGTACCTGTACTCCCAGACGGGCAGAGTGCTGCAGGACGTCAGGTTGGACCCTGACATTCCGGACGGGGGGGGGGACGTTCCCCAACTCGTTGAGGATGATGAGCTCGCCGACAGCCCGCAGGAGGTGGAGGACCTCACCCTCCACGTGCCTGGCGAGTTCCCAGCTCCTCAGACGGACCCGCGGTCAGGGCGACCGGCTGACGCACCCGTGCCCGAGCCATCCAGCCCCCGAGCCCGCACCCCACTCCCCCGGCCGGTCCTCGCCAGAGCCTCAGCAGGCTGCTGAGGTAAGCACGCCACCTCTTTGTGGTCTGCGACTGCAGGGCATCTCGCATCACCAAAAATTGCGCTCGCTCTGTTCCATACAACTGACTTATTGTTTTCCATCTCTTCTTGTGTGTCTGCAGGACTACAGAGGACCGGATGACCAGCCGGGGTACCTGGCCGTGGTCCAGTTGGCCACGGCCTTGGTGGGGTTGCGTCACGACCCGGCCTTGTCCGAGGGGAGGGTAGATGAGCTTATCAGGCTATACGAGGCCCTGTCACCGTACGACAGGGCCCGAGTAGTTTACCCTCCCCGCTACAGGGACAGGCTAGCTCAGGGGCGCTTCATGGCAGCGAAGCCAAGCCGCACCAGTATACCTGGTGTGGAAAGCTTGAGACGGTAAGGCTACACTTCCATCATACATTTCCCTGGTGTACAAACAAGCTGCTTTATGTAATGTTGCCCATTATCATCCTCATATCTGTCATTGTCTTTGTCCATTGTCCACAGCTGCCTGGTCGGAGAGACCTCTGGACCTGCCAGCAGTCCCAGCGCAAGCCGGCTGGTTGAGGCAGTATGCACCCAGCTCTGCCGCTTGATCCCCTCGGGCAGCCGTGCGCGCGGTGCCCGGAGGTCATGGTGGGACAGCATACTGCTTCGGTACCAGCACATCCGGGACCTTGTGCTGGGCCACCAGAGGCTGATGGCTCGGGCGCCCATACAGCTCTTTGAGCTGAACTCCAGGACCCTCTCGCTGTGGTATGTTTGATGCTTTTGATGTTATGGTAATGACATGCTTGAATGGCATGCTCTCAAAATTGTACATGTAACTAAAATACTACGTTGAAATCCGTTCTCAGGTTCACCAGGATGCAGCGGGAGAAGGAGAGGACTGTGCTAGCTTCAGGCGTTGCAGCAGAGGGACGACCACCAGCGGCAGCGGTTTCGGCGCCGTGCCCAGCAGCAGCGGTGGATCGTTCTCCGGCAGCAGCAACAGGCCAGGCGAGGACAGCAGCGCCAAGGACGGCGGGACCTCTGGCAGCAGCACCGGCTGTGGCAGCACCGGTGCCTGTTCTGCCAGCGCCAGTGCGCCCACTGGCGCCTTTACCGCCTGCCCCCTCAGCTGTTGTCCTGGCTATACCACCAGCTGCTGCAGCTGCAACAGGACATTTTCCAGCAACACAGCCTCTCTTTCTGGACCTCTCACTGCCCCAGCAGAGTGTGAGGGTGCTCCCCATACCAACGCTCCCTCGGACAACGCCAGCCCCACACGTCCTCCCTCTGCCGCTGGCTGACGCACATCACGCCGGCCCTCGGCTGCCTGCACCTCCTGCTCCCCCTCCTCAGCCTCGCTCTGCATACAAAACTGAATGGCTGAGGAGGAAGAGGGCTGAGCAGATGGCAGCGGCAGGAGCAGTCGTCGCTGCCCGGGCCGGCGTGCCACAAGAACAAAAGTGCAGGAGATGCGGCCAGCCAAAGCGGAGGGAGACCGGACACACCCGCTACGGCAATGTGCATTTTTGCTCTGCCGCCGCGGCGGGTAAGAGTGTGGAGGACTGGCTGAGGGAGGTGAAGGACCAGGGTCGAGCCCCGGACTGATTTTGCATTCTCGCTGGGGCAGGTGTATATAGTTGTTTCAGTGTTTGTTTGTTTTTTAAAGACATTGACTTTACCCTCCACAAGGACCGGGACCTTGCCGCGGTGTGGAGGCTTCCTACAAACACCGGTCCACACCTGCCACAACTTTTCTACAGCAAAAAAAAAACATTGTGTATCCCATTCACACCTGTATAACATTGCCATGCCTTTGTACTATTCTGATTCTTTGCACTGTTACAAGTTATATAGGCCTATACTGTGTGTCTGCTGCCTATCATATGGCTTAAGAAAAAGAAAAGAAAACAATGTCTGTCCCATTCACACCTGTATAACACATTCACACCTGTATAACACATTGTCATGCATTTGTGCTGTTCTGATTTTATGCGCTGACAAGTTATATAGGCCTTTTGGACATGTGGGTATATTCAATAATGTGGTCACTGTCTTTGGAGTTACGTCCAGTTGCTACTGGCTCTGTTGCCGCCGCGTTGGTACTTCACACTGTATGCTGCTGCGTTATGTTTCCATGCATGTCTGTAATGACCCCACATACTATGCATCTGTCTGCTGTGATTGATGTGGTTTAAAATAAGAGGAATGAAGCCTTGTGCCACTGTTCTGCATCAATACCACTGTTCTGCATCTCACCCCAGAACATTTATGCCATGTGTCTGCTCTGATGCTCTATTTTTATTATTATTACTATCATCATCATCATCATCAAAATCATCATCATCATCATCATCATCATCATCATGTTTTATTTTATTGTAGTTTGAAATAAATAATGTATTTCACACTGTAGTCTACTGCTGCTGTGTTTGGTGTTTTCTGCATCTATACATCATCAACAACAACAACAACAACAACAACAACAACAACTGATATTTAATTGATTTTTTTTACTGAAGAAAAAGGTGAAACGAATAATACACGGCATGCAACTTTTATTTATACATTGAAATAAAATTATTGACATAAATGTAATATAATGTTTAACATAACAAATTTTAATATATATGCAGAAAAAGGTGAAACAATACAAAATACAATATATCTATGCAGAAAATGGTGAAACAATATAAAAAGGGGAAACAATATGAATACAATATATTATTTAACATACATTTTAATATCTATGCAAAAAAAGGTGAAACTACGGTGGCCGAGACAGCTCAACGCGCTGCAACTGAAGCAAACACATGCAAATAGAGAAAAACTGCTGCAAATAGAAAAAAACTCATGCAAATAGAAAAAAACACATGCAAATAGAAAAACACGCATGCAAATAGAAAAAACACACCTGCAAATTAAAAAAAAACATCATCAGTTTCACAACACACGTGTGCTCCAAATAAGGAAACGCGCTGCAAAAGTTCACAACACAACCAAATACAGAAAACGCGCTGCAAATAACACAGACCACAACGGAAATGTTTCCAGGGGAACCAAATAAGTGACGAACCCGGCCGAGACGTGCTTATTGCTCGTGAGCTTCCCTATGCCATACTCCCTTCGAAGGGCAGATTGCAGAGCCCTTTTGGAGTGAGCAAGGCTCTAGTGTGCTGTTAGGCAGCCGTGTGGAACGCACTTGATGAAGGAGCAAGAAAATTTTCACCTGGGATGTTCCCATGACAACGCAGCACGGTGTCCATCAGCTGGTCTTACGACAGAAATATGATGCTGTTAACATAACGGATGCAAATACATTTTTATTTTTAGTTTACAAAAAAAGCTTTTAAAATATGCGTTATATATCTGTGTCTCAACTTTAAAATTTTGGACCCTACATTACCTAACATTTCTTACGAAACTTTTCTTTATGAAAATGTAATAACATGAAACAATTTGTACAGTGTAACCGATCTATAGATAAATATCTTTCCTTCATGTTTTTCTTCTTTATCTTCTTTATTTATTTATTTTAGTTTCCAGCTCATTGTTCTTTTCTCATTTGTATTCTGATGACATTGAAAATATTGTTAATACATTTTGTACATTGTATACAAGTTGTATGTCATAAAAAAATGTAATATCTGTATGTTTTGCACAAACAAATAAATAAATAAACAAATAAATAAAGTATAATTTTAAGCTGTAAGCACCAGCACGCATAGATTTATGGATATCTATGCCAGCACGTCCCAGCCGGGTTCGTCACTTATTTGGTTCCCCTGGAAACATTTCCGTTGTGCTCTGTGTTATTTGCAGCGCGTTTATGTATTTGGTGGTGTTGTGAGTATTTGGAGCACACGTGTGTTGTGAAACTGATGAAGATGTTTTCTTAATTTGCGGGTGTTTTTTTATCTGCACGCGTTTTTTTCTATTTGCATGCGTTTTTTTCTATTTGCATGCGTTTTATTTTATTTGCATGTGTTTTTTTCTATTTGCACGCGTTGTTTTCTATTTGCATGTGTTTTCTTCTATTTGCATGCGTTTTCTTCAGTTGCAGCTCGTTGAGCTCTCTCGGTCACCGTATGAAACAATATAAATACAATATAATGTTGTTTCAAACAACAGATTTTAATATCTATGCAGAAAAAGGTGAAACAAATAATACACGGCATGTTACTTTTATGTATACACATGAAATAGGCATAATATGAATATAATAGTGTGTAATATAATGTTTAATATTTGTGCTTCGGTCGGGATTCGATCCTGCGTTTTGATGGTGTCGTTTTGAAGGCACTAATGCGCATGCGCGAAAACAGAGAAGAACGATGGCAGAGCTTTTCGCAGGGGCCATGCTAATCTTCTCTGTATCGATCCAATTTTAGTATATGTGCTGCCTTAGCAAGCACGATCCTGGCGGCCCGCCCAAGGCATATGTACACCTCGGGTTCCAGCGAGCTATCACCAAGGTGGTAGGGCCCAGCGAGCCATCTACTGAAAGAATGGGGTGGCCAGACTTATCGATGGTACCAAAATACAAGCTCTGAATGGGCTGTGTCCTCCAGGTTTTCGAGAAAGAAATGAGTTGGCGGAAAGTGGAAAACAGGAAAATGCTTTGCTGTCTGTGCCAAGGTTCCATGCACTCGATGTAACTGGACACGATCTATCGCAGCAGGAGGAGTTAATCCTCTGGAGACCTTTAGGCAGAGGCCCTCGGCCACGCGAGAGAAAAAAAAACCGTGAAGGACTCCACAGATTTTTTCCTTTGATTGATTTTTTGATTTTTTTCTCTGAATCGGTCTACTTTCAGCATAGGCGCTGCCTTAACAAGCAACAAACACAGCCTCATTTGAGGCATATGTATGGGGTCGAACCCTGTTCCCTGTCGGCATCTGCTGAAGAAAGGGAGTGGACACACTTTGCTGGAAAAATGAGAGTGCCCTATAGACATTGGAGATGCACCAGTTCTTGACACAAGAGATCAAGAATGAAAATAAATAGTGGCAGGAAGGTATGAATCAAGTCCAGTGAAGCAGGCTTGATCACAGCTGGAAAAATATGGAGCGCTTCACGGATTTGCGTGTCATCCTTTCGCAGGGGCCATGCTAATCTTCTCTGTATCGATCCAATTTTAGTATATGTGCTGCCTTAGCAAGCACGATCCTGGCGGCCCGCCCAAGGCATATGTACACCTCGGGTTCCAGCGAGCTATCACCAAGGTGGTAGGGCCCAGCGAGCCATTTACTGAAAGAATGGGGTGGGCAGACTTATCGATGGTACCAAAATACAAGCTCTGAATGGGCTGTGTCCTCCAGGTTTTCAAGAAAGAAATGAGTTGGCGGAAAGTGGAAAACAGGAAAATGCTTTGCTGTCTGTGCCAAGGTTCCATGCACTCGATGTAACTGGACACGATCTATCGCAGCAGGAGGAGTTAATCCTCTGGAGACCTTTAGGCAGAGGCCCTCGGCCACGCGACAGAAACAAAACCGTGAAGGACTCCACAGATTTTTTCCTTTGATTTATTCTTTGATTTTTTTCTCTGAATCGGTCTACTTTCAGCATAGGCGCTGCCTTAACAAGCAACAAACACAGCCTCATTTGAGGCATATGTATGGGGTCGAACCCTGTTCCCTGTCGGCATCTGCTGAAGAAAGGGAGTGGACACACTTTGCTGGAAAAATGAGAGTGCCCTATAGACATTGGAGATGCACCAGTTCTTGACACAAGAGATCAAGAATGAAAATAAATAGTGGCAGGAAGGTATGAATCAAGTCCACTGAAGCAGGCTTGATCACAGCTGCAAAAATATGGAGCGCTTCACGGATTTGCGTGTCATCCTTTCGCAGGGGCCATGCTAATCTTCTCTGTATCGATCCAATTTTAGTATATGTGCTGCCTTAGCAAGCACGATCCTGGCGGCCCGCCCAAGGCATATGTACACCTCGGGTTCCAGCGAGCTATCACCAAGGTGGTAGGGCCCAGCGAGCCATCTACTGAAAGAATGGGGTGGCCAGACTTATCGATGGTACCAAAATACAAGCTCTGAATGGGCTGTGTCCTCCAGGTTTTCGAGAAAGAAATGAGTTGGCGGAAAGTGGAAAACAGGAAAATGCTTTGCTGTCTGTGCCAAGGTTCAATGCACTCGATGTAACTGGACACGATCTATCGCAGCAGGAGGAGTTAATCCTCTGGAGACCTTTAGGCAGAGGCCCTCGGCCACGCGACAGAAACAAAACCGTGAAGGACTCCACAGATTTTTTCCTTTGATTTATTCTTTGATTTTTTTCTCTGAATCGGTCTACTTTCAGCATAGGCGCTGCCTTAACAAGCAAC